ACTGCATTACTCGTCGGATCGAGCCATCCAAACTATCGGGGAAGAACTTGGACTCATCAAGAACAGAGATGATGATAAAGAGAGAGTCAGAGTCCAGATTAATGGCATGGAACCACTTCTCATGAATATGGAAATCATGCTTCCCAACGAAGAGGTCACAACGGTTGAATTTGAATACAAAAAGCTCGAAAAGCATTGCTTTTCATGCTTCTCTTTATCCCATGAGGAAAGGGATTGTCATATGACCAAAGAGGGGGTAAGAGATTTGAGTAAGTTGGGTATTAACCAAAGAAAGGTCTTAAACCGTATGGAAGCAGAAAGGAGATGGGACTACGAGAGAAGACAACTTGGACCTAACCCCAACTTCTCCTATAAGCGAACTTACAGAGACTCATCCCTTATAGTCTCAAATTACAGAGGCTCCTTTGACCATAGGGAAGCACGCAGAGAACCGGTTAGGAACCACATGGAGAAGTACACAAAGGAAGCTCCTCCTCGAGCCTCAAGAGAACCCCATAACAGAGATGCAGATCGAAGGTCACAATCTGACATCAGAGGAGCACTACGAAGGGGAAACTCGTACTACAGACCGGTTTCACAAGGCCAAGTACACAGCTCCCAATCGGCTACCCATAGCAGAATACAACCTCGGGAAATTGGATTCTCGGATAGTGATCTCAGACACCATCCAGTTCTAAATGGAAATCAACACGGGAAGTCTATTTCCAACTCCAAGATCAGCCACACGCCTCCTCCTAACCCCCGAAGAGATCCCATTTCCCCTATTATTATACCAAACACAAGACAGGAGGAAGGCTTTTCCCCTCGGCCAAAGGGACCAGCTAGGGAGCGTCTCTCTTTCTCAAGAACCTCAGCACTACAAAGACTAGGAGAAACTCACAGTTCTGATTCAGGACAGCTACAGGACATCACAGTCCACTATTTGGAAGAGAATGAGACCAATCTAGTAGACAACAGAGTCTCAGCTCTAAGAAGAAGTAGCGACCCTCCCTCATTCGATTTAGTGCAGGTTACTATTCCTAACTCTGCAAATCCTGCTACTAGGAGGGCGAATACAAAGGGCTCCACTCTCATATGAAAGAAGAGGATGGGTAGCAGTCCCTTGCAAGGAGCTTGCTCCCGTAAAAGTAATGCATCACGCGCTATTGCACAAGCTAAGAAGAAAGCCGCAGTAGCTAAAGAAAGTATTAAGAGAAGTTTCCCCGTAGATCGGGATTTGGAGACAATTGCTCAAGGAGATTCTCAGGAACCCCGACAAG